TTCTTTGCTGATTTTCTGTCTGGTTTATCTGTTCCTTGGTGTCAATGGTGTTTTAAGGTCTCCTGCTATAATTATGTTATTGCTTATTTGTTTTTTCATTTGTGTTAATACTTGCTTTGTATAACTAGATGCTCTGGAATTTGGTGCATATATATTTAAGATAGTTATCTCTTCTTCTTGAAGTTCTCCCCTAACTAGTATGTAATGATCTTGTTTATCTCTTTTGATCATTCTTGGTTTGAAGTTCACATTGTCTGCGAACAGAATAGCTACCCCCATTTTTGGAGGGTTCCTGTTTCATGAAGTATTGTTTTCCATCCTTTGATTTTCAGTCTGTGAGTTTCCTTTTGGGTTAGATGGGTTTCTTGTAAACAGCATACGGTTGAATGTTGTTTCTTGATCCATTCTGCCAGTCTGTTTCTTTTAATTGGTTAATTGAGACCATTTACATTAATGGTTATAACTGTTAAATATGGCTTCATTGTTGACATGTTATCTTTTTGCTGTTGCATCTTTATCTTTCCATACTGTTTAGTTGTCTGTCTTGTTTATTGTTTTTTTTTTCCTATGTGCATCTAAAGTGTCTTTCAGTATTCTTTGCAGGGTTGGCTGGTGATCATGAAGTTCTTCAGCTGTTCTTTATCATGGAAATACCTTATTTTTCCATCCATTCTGAAAGACAGTTTTTCACGGTACATCAGTCTAGGTTGGAAATCATTTTCCTTTAGGATCTGAAATACTTCACTCCATGCTCTTCTTGACTTCATTGTTTGTGTTGAGAAGTCTGCTGTGATTCTGATAGGTTTTCCTTTATAGGTGATCTGTCTTTTCTAACAGCTTTTAATATTCTATTCTTAAGTTGGATTTCTGGGATGATGATTATTATATATCTACGTGTAGTTTTATTTTATTTATAGCTATTTGGAGTTCTATATGCTTCACTAATCCTAATGTCAGTTTCTGGTCTCATGTTTGGGAAATTTTCAGCTATTCTCCAAATATCCTCTTGATATCATTTGCGTTGTTCCTTTCTTTTTCATTTATCCTTATCAATCTTATGTTGTTTTCCTTTGCATCATCTTGCAGCTGTTGAATTGTTATTTCCTGATTCCTTGTTATTTTTAGGAGATCTTTCCTTTCCTGTCTTCGAGGTCTGAAATTCTATCTTCACTTTCATTGATGTGGTTTTGACAACTTTCAAAGGAATTTTTGCTTTTCCTGTATATCTCCTTGAATTTGCTTCACGTATTATGTTTGTTTCTTATATTGTTCATCCAGGGATTCTATCTTTTTGTTTGCTCCTCTAATTTTTTTAACTGTATCTTCTTTTGATGTGTTCAGAATCTCTTTTATTACTTTTATCATTTCTTCTTTTACCTGGGAGATTATTTCTAGTTTGAAATCCTTTAAAGCTTCCCGGAGTTGCTTCTTTATTTTAGTTGCTATTATTTCAGGTATTTCAGGTTTATGGCATATATTTTCTTCTATGTACATGGCTCCTAAGCTTTCTTCGCTGCAGGTTTGAGATTGCATTTTGGTGTTTCGTTTTATCATTTTCCTATATTTCCCTGTTTCAAGTGGTGTTCCAAGGCTTCCCTGGGCCTATTGGAAATCGTCTTCTATGCCTTCAGCTCCTGGGACTCCAGCCACCCACTCCCTGAATTGAAACAAGTTCACTGCATTGCCCAGGCAGGCCTGAAACCTACGGAGCTGGTCAAGTGTGGCAGGAAGCTGTGCAGTTCTTTCACCACTGGGAGCAATGATCTTAAACTCCCAAGGCTCTGGATGGTGCACAGACACTCACCTCTGGCGGCCCAGTTTCCCGGATTGAGAGAGGGTCACTGGGGATGGTACAGGCAGGCCCAAGACCTGTGGGGCCCATCCAGTGTGGCAGGAAGCTGAGAGGTTCCTTGACTGCTGGGAGCACTGATCCCAAACTCCCAGGGCTCGGGATGGTGCGGACATTCACCTCTGGCTACCCAGTTCCCCTGTTTGAGAGGGGGTCGGTACTGCAGAATTTCAAAAGCCAATGGCTAATGATTTAATCCAAGAGTCCTAAGTAATGAAACCTTCATAAAACCTTCAGAATGGCTGGCTCCAGAGAGCTTCTGGGTAGCTGAATATGTAGAGGTTGCTGTAGGGTGGCACATACACAGAGGACACAAAAGCTCTCGGCCTCTTCCCATATAGCTTCACCTCATGCATCTCTTCATCAGTGTCCTTCAGAACCTCCAGGAACATGCATCATAAATGCATCATAAATTCAGAAAGGTTGAAATGAACCAGAACCAGATAGGTTGAGGGCTGTGGTATTTGTCTAGCATATATAAGGCCCTATCACTGCCATTGAATTATTATTTCCTGTTTCCTTATTATTTTCAAGAAATCTTTCACTTTCATAACAACTAGCTAGAATTCTGTCTTCAAGGTTTGAAAGTCTATCTTTTGTTTCTTTCAAGTGGTTTTGCCAACTTTCAATGGAAACTGTTTCATGCATTATAATTCCCTCCTATATTTTTCATTCAAAATTTCCATCATTTTTCTATGTGCCTCGTTTTTTATCTGTATCTTTTTTAGAGATTCTCAGTAATTCTTTCATTATGTTTGGAATTTCTTCTTTTACCTGAGTTTTTTTGTTTTGTTTTGTTTTGTTTTTTTTTTTTTTTTTTTTTTGAGACAATATTTCACTATGCAGTTCAGGGGCCTTGAACTTAGTTTGTAGCCCAGGCTGGCTCAAACTCAGCAATCCTCGTGCCTCAGCCTCCCGAGTTCTGGGGACTACAGGCATGAGCCACCATGCTCCACTTGAGGTATTATTTCTGACCTGATTACTTTTACAGTCTCATGAAGTTATTTTTTGCTTCAGTTGTTATCCTTTCAGAAACTTCAGGTTTGCAAAATCCAATTTGTTCTCGGTCTATGTCTCCCAGACTTGTTCTGTGTGGGCTGGAGGTCTAAGACTGTCTTTTGCTCCTTCATCTTGACAGTTTCCCAGATTCCATCAGGTAAACTGGTTGTGGGGTCCCATATATTTCCCTCATTGGCTACCCATTTTCCGTGTAGGAGAACGGCCCAGGAACCTGAATTCTCTGAACTATGAAGTATGGGGCAGGCTTCTCCAGTCCCATGCAGTATACCAGGACTCAGCTGATGGCAGCGGGCATGCAGAAGCGTGTTTGGCTGTTCCTCCTGGCCCACGCTAGCTGCCTATAGGAAGCCCATGGAGGCCTGCAGGTTCCTGGGGAGGCATGGGGTATGGGGCAAGCTTCTCCAGTCCCATGTCATACACTAGGACTCGACTGATGGCAGCGGACATGCAGGAACCTATGTGGCTGTTCCTCCTGGCCCACACTGGCTGCCTGTAGGAAACTCATGGAGGCTTGCAGGCACATGGGGTGTGTCTGGCTGTTTCTCCCAGCCTGGACTGGTTACTTGAGTAACCATCAGGCCATCTTTTCTATTTTTCTGTTCCTTCTCAGAAATCAGTATCTCCTTTGCTCTATTTTTGCAGTCTCCAGCTTTGCTGCAGCTTCCTTTATGGCCAGACTCACAGTGTTTTAAATTTTTCTGCTGGGCTCTTTGCTCTTGATTCTCAGCATAGATACGTAGCCATGCCTTGGCCTCAACATTAGACTGCTTTAAAGTTTCTTCTGCCAGATTAGTCTTCCAACCTTAACCACAGTCTCAGGAAAAGTCTCTGGACACAATCAAAATGCTGACAAGCTTTCTGCCAAGCTATAACAAATGTATTCTGAAGTCCAACAGCCAATGCAGTCCTTCTTTCTAGCAGAAACCTTCCAAGCCTGTTCTTTACCAGCATCATTTCTGTTGTCATTCTGGTCTTCTGAGCTCTGACCAGAATCTCCCACAAGTACAGCCTAAAGCATTCCAGCTCTGTTTTTTCAGCCAACACTCCAAAACTTTCCAAACTCTTCCCATAAGCTAGCATCTGAATCACATGGTCAGGTACAGTCACAACAACTAACCTACTTGTCTTTTTACCAAATTCTGTCTTACTTTTCTTGTTGCTAAGACAAAATACCCAACACTCACCAGTTAAGAAAGAAAGGTTTATGTAGCTTACCGTTTGTAGAGTTGTCAGTCCATAATCAGCTGGCTCCAAGGCAGGGTGACATGGCAGACGGGCATTGCAGAGGAGAAACAATTTGTGGCAAGAAGGTAACAAAGCAGCAGGGAAGCATGGTAGCTCTTTCTGTCCCTTATATTTTATCCAGGCAACCCATCCTCACACTCTTAATCCTAGTAGCCTTGATCCTAGCATTACACCATGAATCCCAGTACCAAATACTCTAGACCCAGCCACCTCTGAAAAAACACCACCTATGACTGCATGAGGCTTTGGAGTGGGGGCATCTAACCACAAGCCATAATACAAGCTAAGATATTCAGTATCACTGCTTTTTTACTTAAAATAACAGTTTAAACTTGACCTAAAAATAAGTGTCTATAGTACTGATTTAAAATGAATATGTCAAATAAGAATGAAGTATGAGAATTCAGTTTTCAAAGTTTGGCAATATTAATTATCTAAACATTGAAAAAGCCTAGATTAACAAAAAAAATCAGTAGATCATGAAAAACACCATAGAAAATATTGTGTTTTTAAATCATAACCTTACATATGATGTACCTACTAAACTACATTCTCCCTTTTCCTTTTGAAGATTTGTGATTTCAATTAAAAGTAAAAAAAATCTATACTTTTCAAGCATAATATTGTATTTTATCAAGCAGAACAAAAATTTAATGACTATCACCTGGTATAAAATTATAAAATTAATTTGAAAGCTTAAAACTTAGATTCCACTATACTATATTTTGTTTGTTCAAAACCTAGTACATTCACTAATACATTTTTAATACATATTTTCTCTGCTAAATTAATAAATCATAATTTTCTCTATTACATGAGAAAATTACTATTCTTCATATTACTCTCAGAAGTATTGTTTCCTAAATTTTAGTTTTGTTTCTTGCAGACGGTGGGTACGGCTGCTGTTTGGAAGAGAGTTTCCTCTGCAGGATCTGCTAGTGGTTTGGGATGCCTTGTTTGCAGATGGCCTTAGCCTGAGTTTGGTTGACTATGTCTTCATAGCCATGCTACTCTACATCCGAGATGCTTGTAAGTTTTTATGTTTTTGCCTACATTTGATATACTTTATATTTTATTGTCTGATTCATATATACCTAAATTTTTACTTACTGTGTATCAAAATTTCAAAAGAAAATAATAAATCATTTTTGTTAGTTATTTCAGTGAAATGTTTTATCTCGAAAGAATTGAAATAATCTTTAAAGCCATTTTTCTGAAGACTTTTTACTCTTGCTTTATTCTCATTATACACATTTGTGAAACACATGCAAAAAGCCAGTATTTCAGACATGTTTAGAGCTCCACCTTCTGACATACACTGAGTATTCACAGGTATTTATTGCGAGATTGGAGCTGTTTTTATGTATCAACCTTGCCAATTAAAAAATACGTATTTTTAATACATATTAAGGAATATATAGAGAGACACACAGACAGAGTATAACTTACTCCCAGTGAAATTTTAACAAACTCTTATCACTCATGCTAGTCTAACAGTTCACATTTCAGTTTTATCTTGGGGTGCTCACCCTAACCAGAAAGTTAATATGTACCTACTACTTTAAAATTTCTCACCTAGAAGAAAATACCAGAGCATATTTTAAATTTCATAATGCCTGAAATTATTTTCCTTCTCAGAAAGATAATCACAGTTCACAAAATAAGATTGTAAGCCAAAGTATAATTAGGAAAGATTGCATCAAGTGCTGTGATTGAGTTAGGCAATAGAAAACTATTCCAAAAGCAATACTTTACAAAAAAAAAAAAAATAGACTATTTGGAGTCCTTCGTAATCATGACTGTTAAAGTGCTACATGGGCGTCTTTATTTGTTCATTGAATACCAGTTGTGCTAGATGTTCTTGTTATACTTCTGATAACACTAAGATTTAAAATTTTAGATAATACTTTTTACATTTCCTCAAAATTACTTGGAATAAATGAATGACAGGGTCACCACATTTTATCCAAAAATTGTAAGACTTTTTTCCCTGTGCTTCAAAGATCGTATAGTTTGAATTTTGATAGACAAAGTGAATGTTTCTTCTTTTCAGAACTAAAGCTAATCATGTAAGAACATGAAAATAATGAGAGAAGACAACTGGAAAATAGAGAAGGATGTTTGCGTAGATGTGATAGATACTGGAGTTTTGGATATTTAATAATAATAATATCCCTTTTTAAAAGTTTTTTAAATTATAAGTAAGTAAATACAAAAGGAGGCTTATCATCTGTAATTCTATTACTCTGGGATACTGATGCTGGAAAATCGCAATCTAGCTCAGCCTAGGCAACTTAACAAGATACTATCTCCAAAAAAAGTTTTTTCACTATACTTTGCACGTCAAACTATTGAAATATATTCTGATTCTCTGATTTTTAAACAATGAACAATTTTCTGTTTTTATAACTTGGGCACATCACCATTATATATCTAATCATCCTATCTTCTATACTAATATCAATTCTTTTAATTCCATAAAATGTGACAAATTTTGGCAGCTAAATCCCTTACACATTTTTAATCTATTCACTGATGATTTTATACATATGAATACAATGTGGGAAAAGTACAGAAGTAATGAAATTATCATTTCAATTTAGGATAAATCCTTTAACAGTGGATATCTCCTAACGTAGAGTGACTATTCTTAGGTATTTAAGGTTGTTCCTGCCCTAAAGGAGTCTACCAACTAGCAGAGAATAGTGCTGTAAATAATTTCAAATGAATGTAGTTGATGCTTTGGTTGAGAGGTCAGGTAGTGTAAAAATTCAGGGAGAGAGCTAGCTCCATCAAGGTCAGCTGTAAGTGAGTAGAAATAACTTTATGGTATTGGCAAGCCCAATAAAGGGATTTTCATCCTAGAAGAAAATACAGAAGGAATAGCATAGACTAAGGCCTGGATGTGAGAAGCCCCTTATAGGGCTGCTGCTGCTGCTCTGTGTGTGTGTGTGTGTGTGTAGCATACTAGGACCTACTAGTACTATTAGCAGAATACAAAGGGAGAGAGGGAAGGGGGTGGTTATGAGACCAAAGAAGTGAAACAGGTGGAATCATGGTGAAAGTCTTTGACCTGAAAGTAATAGGAAATTATTAAAAGGTTGAAAGCAGAACTAAGACTACTTTTAAATCACTCTAGCAGTAGTGTAGAAAATGAATTTGAAGGAAAAAATACTGGAGTAAGAAGTTAAGATAAAAGTTTATGAAAGTAGTCCAATGGAAAAATAGTGAGCTACAGCAATATTCAGAGCTAATATCAGCTTAATATTATAGGTAAAATGGGAAGTCTTGAACAATCCTCTGTTTGGACCATTAAATTATTGGGTCATTTTGTAGTAAATGTAAAGATTAGCAGGTTTTAGATAAACAATTGAGTTTTGGTCATGCTAAATTTGATATATCTATAGAATTGCCTGAAGATTTGGAAAATAAAGCTCCATGTCAATATCATAGCTACAGATTTAATTTTACAAACAACAGATATTTATTTGTTAGTGACATGAGTAAATGTGATCTCCTAAGAATGAAGTGATACCACCTAGTTTACTTTTTAGTTTCCATGTGTTCTCCCAGAGTAGTAATTATTAATACTACCCACTTTCACTCCCAAAAGCATCACAGTAGAGTCATAAAATGTATATAGTCAGACTTCTGAAGGTGGATATATAAAGAAGCAGAATGTGGGCAATGGTGGAAGTCAGGCCTTAGCCCCAGTATTTCAGAAGCATTGGAAGAGGAAAAGCCAAGCAAGTGTTTGTAATATTAGCTCAAACTGTGTGGTCTGAGCAAAAAGATACAGTAATATAAGACAAGAGAAAGCCACTCAGATTTGATACTGTGAAGGGACAATCATTGAATAGTGCTTTGCCAGATCCAACTTAATGAAGTGGTAGAGCAGAACCTTAGATGAAAGTGGACTGAAGAGTAACTTGACAATTAGTATAAGTATAAAAACAATTAGTAAAGTATAAAAGCTTTGTTCTTTATTATATGTGCATTTGTTGTTCAACTAAAAGAATGATGAACCAAAAAAAGTGATGATATTTGTAATCTTTAAGTATGGGGAAAGCCGGCTGGGGATTTAGCTCAGTGGCATAAACACCTGCCTGGCAAGTGCGCAGTCATGAGTTTCATCCCCAGTACCAAAATAGAAAGAAAGAAAAAAAGAAAGGAAAAGAAAGAAAGAGGGAATAATAATAAAGATGTAGTGAGATGGCAAATTTAGGGACAGAAGATTGGATGATTGTCTTTAGAATGAGACAAGACTATGTCGGAACTAGTAGAGAACTGATGAAGAGATCTATTTCTGAAATCAGTTGTAAGTTTCTCCTTCAAGTGACAGTACTAGTTTTTCCATTCTGTTCTGCCTAAGGTCTATGGACAGAGGAATTATCTTGTTTTGTTTTACTTGTTTATTGTTCTAGTCTTCATTTCGTCTATGCCTTCCTTCATTCTCCAGCTAGAGGTAAGGTCTTGTCTGTTTCGTTTTCCCTACTGTATATGCCAGAGCAATTATGTAGTAAATCTTTAAGCAAGTGTGTTTTGAGTTAAGATAGTTGGGAACAAGGGCTCAGAGGCAAGACTGGTGATGGAGTAGGGATTTGAAATAGTGGTGCCAATCATTGAAGAGCACTGGGCTTGTTTTAGAAGTGGGTCAATTATAGAGAGAAAATACCAAAAATGGAGAAATTCTATGAAGAGAGAGAAAGAACCAAATTATCTGCTGTAAATGAGGTAGGCTAGGATCCAGGGGTTTGGAAAGACTGACTGGGAGTCTTGGCAAATATGGCCAACAAGCATAGGGCAAACCTGGCATAACTGCTAACTAAGGTTGTGGTTGTTTCCACCTGTGCTTAGCAGTCAGGAAAGATAAAAGGAAATAGACTACAAGATGGGTTTTGAATTAGCCCAGTTTTGTTTTTAGGAAATCTTACTCTTATGCTGTTGACTAACAAATACCTCTTATTTATAAAATTAAACTGTAGCTGTAACAGACAAGCACCAAAAACTTTAACAACTATAAAGAGTAAACAACAACCTTTATTCAGTCATTTATTGAAAGAACCAACCATTCAAACCATATATATTGAATTCCTACAATTTGCCAGCACTCATGGTACCTAGATAATGGTGTTGAAGAGACATGATGAATATCTAGATGCATACCATGAACTTCAAAGGAAACTCAAGATAGGAAACAATAGTTTATAAGCAAAATCAGGGATGAGGATGGTACTCAACTTTACACTGTGGAGGGTATAAGGGCATTAGTTAGTCCTGGTTCAGATTTTGCCAGAAAAGAAAGGCAGTGTTCCTAAGAAAAGGTAAAACAGATGGGAGCAACAAGAGGAAAAGAGGACATAGAACAGAGTTAATAGGAGGCCCGTACTAATTAGGCCATGGTGAATAACTGTAGAAAAATTGACAATTGCTAGCTTCAGTATTCCAAACAAACCTTATTTCACTAAGGCCAGCTTGGGTAATTTATCAAGATTTAAACTAAAAAAGAACCAAGGATGTAACTCATGCAAAACTTTTGCCACACATGTGCAAGGCCATGCACTCAGTATCTCACAAAAATGCACACAAAATGCACTGCCCACAATGAAACAAAGTGTATCTAATTTCTATCATTTGAACTAAAAATGAGGCAAATTTGAACTAAAAATGAATCAAGCTTACCATTTTCTTCTTTAACAGTGTTTATGTCCACCAAATATTTCCAGGCTTCACTTCCATGACATTTTCCACATAAGAAAGTAGTAGGATGTAGGGGTCTATATTGACCAGATTTCCTGTCACTGGAACATGATACTTGATACCCACAATTTAGGAGAGGTTTAATTTTGGCTCATCGTTTCAGAGGGTACAGTCCATGGCCAACTGGCTCCAAAGCAAATACATCATAGTGAAAGGTTCAAGCAAACTGCTTACTTTATGGCTGCAGGGAGCAAAGCACAGGAGGAGTAGTGAAGGCAAAGGGGCCAGAAACCAGATATGGTACTCAAAATCATACCTTCACAACCCAT